TCGCTAATTAATAAGGAAAGATTTGTATATAGAATTTGATCCAGCCACCAAAGACGTGTGAAAGATGCGTGCACATCTACTGGCAAAGGTTTCGCGTGTAGTTTATAGTGTGAACGTATTGTAACTATTTATGCACAAACAAAAGTCTCGTGACATAGCATTTGGGAATAATATGTACCTATTTTTAAACCTGTGCTCTATTGGGCCTCCAACCTATCGGCGCCATCTACTGGCGATTTCCACTAGAATTTAAATCGACGTTAACCACATTTAAACCGACGCTATTGGATGGTATTGCGGTGCGAAATCATTTCCCATCATGGGCCATACGTACCAGAAAAGTCATATAAGCCATCAGTAATATATTATATATTATATATCTCTATATGTTCTCTCTAATTTTATATCTCTATTATGTACGCTTGATATTATATATTATATAGCTATATTATATAATCATTAGCATTATATAAAGTCAGCTTTCATGTTTTTCAAGAAATGATAATGTCATCCTATGAAGTGACGTTGCAGGTGACACCATATATGGTGTTAACTAATAAATTCTTCCATAATTTCTTCCGTATGCAAATCTCCCGGCACACGCTTGAAATTGCTACATTGCTCTTAAAAGTTGGCTTCGTTTGAAAATTTCTCGGCCAAAATAGCAAAGCCCGCCGAACGGGCCACCCACACCAGTTGTCAGGAGCAAAGATTCTAGTTTCTGAACAACATTTGCAAGAGTTCTAGTCCTTTTCATCAAGAAATAAAAAATTGAAGTGCGCGGATACGCAGCAAAAGGATATAGTTATTTGATTACTAATGCCAGTGCTTATTAGTTGGTGTGCACGTATAATACCAGATGATAATAGAATAGATCGGCGATTCTGCTGCTCACAACCGAATTGCACCGCCATCTACCGGCGAGGTATGTCTCACTAGAGATAACAACAATTATTGCCAAGAAAAACCGGAGCTACTGATGCGAATTCAAAAAGGAAATCTTGGTTTTCTCTGCTACATTATGAGTAACAGAATACGGATGACATTGCGTATAATAATAATAATAATAATAATATTATATGAAATGTGTATACATCTCCAGGTTTAGGATAAGGTTAGTAATTACTATAATGAAACGTTATATGTCTCTCGTGCGGTTACGCGCGCGCGCGTGCATGCATGCGTGTACGTGTGCGCGCGTGACGGCAAAAAAATCTACGAACTAATTGTTGTTATAAGTTATTAAATTATCAGTTATTAATTACATCAGTGAATGCTATAGTCGCAGCTGATGACAGTAGTCGTCGTCTTAATTCATGTATTAATTTATAATGTACTAAATTGCGTTCGCTCATTGTTTGTGTACCCTGCATCGTTACTCGTTACTATATTACACTGAATCTCAAAGCCTGCCAGTTATACATACACCAGTGTACTACCAAGATGCAGATGACGTGTATATAGATAGAAAGAAGTTTCTTTTCTTGGCCTGCTATACCGCTGGATCAGCGGTGTATAATATCAAGAGTCCATTAACCTTAACTTTATAAAGGGGCCCATTAACTTTATTAAGGGGGTTAATGGGCTCTTGATAATATAGATAATATATAGATATAGATAAAAACCTATTATTTGATTTTGTTTGATTTCTACATGGGTGTTCGTGTGTGATTTTACTTTTAATTTTACAGATATATAGATATATAGATAATATACAGTCCAGATGTTATCGCTAGCGGCCAGGCTAGCGATAGGCGATAGGCTGATAGGCTAGCGCCAGGCCTTCAGCGTCTAGCGGCTCACTGAATACAGCAGATAGACGCACGCGCGCATTCTATATCTGTATGCGGCGCGCGTGTGTACATCGCCCGTGCGGCTAGGCTTGGCTTGGCTATATTTGTTGGGCGCGCGCGCGTCTGCGTGCAAGGTTCGGCAAGCTATCGGTTACCACCGCCCGAGGAACGCCCGCCCTATTTGTGATCGGCTGGATATATGTATCAAGTCCGCGCATGCGCCGTTCGACGGTAGGCGCGAAGTGAAGCTGAGAGCGTTATCGGCGTGTGTGCGAGAGAGAGAGAGAGAGAGAGAGAGAGAGAGAGAGGAGGGAGAGAGACAGAGAGGGAGAGACAGAGAGGAAAAGAGAGAGAGAGGAGAAACAGAGAGAGAGAGTGAAAGCGAGAGAGAGAGAGAGAGAGAGAGAGTGAATGAGTGACCGAGAGAAAGAGACAATGGGAGAGTTAGTGAGTGAGTGAGTGAGTGTGCGAGCGTATGGTTTGCGTGCAAGATCATCGCTATTTCTTAAAACACGTTCGTCGTCATCGTCACAGCCTCCACAGCTGTGTGTGGAAGGTTCCAGTTCTGTATGACAGCAACTCGGATATTTCATCTACTTACAGAGAAGGAGCATGCGAGGCAGTGACGTCATAACAGCAAGCACAGCTAGAGATCGGCACGTGATGGACAGATCAGAGGTCAGAGGTCAGACACTAGAAGCTTAGCTTCTCAGGTCAGATCTTCATCAGAGATTTGACGGAGAGTTGGTTTGAGGAAAGATTCTTGGGCGGTCATCAGTGTAGACTGTGTGTGTTGTTTCATTTGGGAATTCTCTTTCTCTTTCTCTTTCTCTCGCTCTCGCTTTCACTCTCTCTCCCTCCTCTCTCTCTCTCTCTCTCTCTTTATATCTTCCCTCTCTCTCGCTTTCACTCTCTCTCCCTCCTCTCTCTCTCTCTCTCTCT